TGCAATGGCTCCCTGTTATCTGTAAGATCAGACACAAAGTCCTCTGTTAGGTATTTAGAACACTTCACAACCTGGTTCCAACCTGACTTTCCAGGTTTATTACATATTGCTCTCCTCCGGGAACTCTATGGTCCTGCCAAACTGGCCTTGCTGTTCCCATCCATGGCATTTCATCCTCTGTCTCTACTTGCCTTTGCACAGACTGTCCTTCATGTCTGGAATTTACTCTCTTATCACATCTGCCTCTGGAATTTCTGGTTTCCTTCAAGACTCAACTGGTATACCCCTTTCCACCTTTCCTACACATCTCTTCCTTCCCCTTCTGCTTCCCCTTTAAAGTTACTTTATATCTGGTTTTTAAAATATGTTTTGTATTTATCTCTAAATGTGCATTTCGTCTCCCCAGAAACAAACTTGGGAACAGGGACTGTTTCATTTCTGCCTTTGAATACTTTGTATACATAGCAGGTATTTAACAAATGTTGATTGAATAATTGGTGATATGTTTTCCAGGAAACCTGCCTTGATACCTCCAGATACTATAGACATTTTCATTTTCAGAGCTCACGTGGGACTCTATTTTGTATCATTTTAAATGCACTTATGTATGACTGTAATTACAGGTACCTTTTAGTGGTGTCTTTTCCCCCATTAGACTGTCTTATTTAATTTTACATGTACCCCAGCACCCAGCACATATTAGATACTTCAAAAATGTTTTTGGAGCTAAATTCATTCTGGCCTCATATAGTTTGCATTGGTGGAGGGGAAGGATTTGGCTCTACTTTAGGAAAGTTCGATCGTTGGTTCTTTGGTATGTATTGTAGCCAGATGCAGAAACCCACCCCGCCCTTGTCCTCAGCAGTGACAGCAGCTGTGGAAAGAGCATTAGATCTGGAGTCAGAAAACCTGGACTGTATCCCAGCACTGCCACTGCCTAGGTGGATGACCTTAGGCCACTCATTTAGCCTCTTTACATCTCAGTTTCCTCATCTGTAAAATGGAAATGACAATAGTTATACAGAATTGTTGTGGGGATCCAATAAGAAATGTGCACATGGTGCTTTGTACTTTTGGAGGGCTATCTAAATGTCAGCCTCTGCTATGATCACCTCCTCCCATGAGGTCCAGCTGCAGGGATGGGGAGCTTTCTTAGATTTCTCCTGGAAAAAGGATCAGAGCCAGGACCCAGGGTTCCCTAGAACTTCCCAGGCTTCTGGATGACAAAATTTGTTCTTCTGATCTTACCTAGTTTGCTCAGTGCCCCTTTGAGGGATGGGTTTTTCAAGGGGTGATGGAGATACTGTATCCCGTTGCTATGTGAGTCCCTCCTAGACTTCAGGAAGGAGACTGGGGGAAGGGTGCTGAGCAGGATGAGCCAGAAGGACCCCCTCTGGTACTTCTGCTGCTCTGGCTTTTCCTGTTCCCAGGATCTCTGCCTGCTAGTGTCAGATGGAGACACTCCTTAGCCTTGTTCCAGCTCTGAACATGAGTTAGGCTAGCACTTAGTAGAAGATTTCAACCTTAGGGCTCCAAAAGGTTATAAAGAATCATAGAATTTGTGAGGCAAGGGGGAGGGTAGCAAATTGGGGGGGGGAGTGAGGAATGCTTATTTGTTACCACAGGAAGTGCAATCTTAAATGTTGGAGAGAATTGGTAGAATACAGACTACTCTGTGAAATGCTGGTGGTCAGAGTTAGAAGGAATCTTAGGATGTAAACTGTTGGAACATGAAATGTCAGAGTTGGAAGGGAATCAGGAGGACCCTCTGTGAATCATTCACCAAATGATAGGCATGAAAAGTACGTGGGATGAAGTTCAGTCGTTTCAGTTGCGTCAGACTCTTCAGGACCCTACCTGGAGTTTTTTTTGGGGGGCAAAGAAACTGGGGTGGGTTGCCATTCCCTTCTCCAGCTCATTTTACTGACAAGGAAACTGAGGCAAACTAGGTTAAATAACTTGCGCAGGGTCTTATAGCTAGTGAGTGTCTGAGGCCAGATTTGAACTCAGGTCTTCCTGATTCCAGGCCTGGTACTCTATCCACTGTGCCACTTAGCTGCCCTTGAAGTGTGTAGGGGTTACCATCTGTATGGATGGAAGAAATGTTCACGCTGCATCAGATTAAGAATATAGAACTGGAAGGCCAACTTTCTAGACCACACACCCCCCACCTCAAGTCACAGAAGAGAAAACTGAGTACCAGTAATAGGAGGTGACTCTCTCTGGGCAGCCCAGCCAGTTAAGTGATAGAGTGGAGACCTGAACCCAGGGCCAGGGATTCTCAGCTCAAGCTCATTGCTTTGTACCACAATTCCTCTGATGGATGTGGAATGGCAGGCAGTTGTCCCATCAGGGAAATCTGGCCCTGGCATTTCTGCATTTCCTCTATAAGGGCTATGGGACTTGTGCTGCCTTCCAAAGGGGTGGGGAGAAGGGTGGCTCCAGTGGGCGGAGAAGTGTAATGTCTTATGGTGACTTCACTGAACAAAAACCAGATGTGTTAAGGAGGAGAAATTTGGCTGCAGTTCCTCTTTCAAAGGCCTAGGAGAAGAGGGAGGGAGCAGGGATGTGAGACACATTTCACCTTTAGAGGACTAGGAAAAGGCTCTGTGTGTGTGTGTGTGTGTGTGTGTGTGTGTGTGTGTGTGTGTGTGAGAGAGAGAGAGAGAGAGAGAGAGAGAGAGACACACACACACACACACACACAAACAGAGAGAGACAGAGAGAGAGAATGGGAGGAAAGGGGAAGGGGGGAAGCTGGCAAGGGGAGAAGGGTGGCAAGAGGGGGAGGGTAACAAAGTGGGGGGAAGGAGGAATGCTCATTTGTTCACCACAGGAAGTGCGATCTCAAATGCCTGAAAGGGTGCAGATCTAGCCATTTCTGAAGTATGAATGGACTGGATTTGGTGATGAAGTTAGAAATTGTGTACTCCAGCAAAGAAGGGCCCTGCCCTTTATCAATTACAAAAGACTTCTTTCTCTAGGTGCAGTGGGGACACCAGAGGAATGGAGCTAAGAGTAGGAACTGGAGAAGGAACATAACTGGATGAACAGAAATTGGTGGAGATGTGGGGAGCAGCTTCAGGATAGGCCAGGAAAAAAGAGGGCTTCTCTGCTAAGGGGGGTTTACCCTTTTGGAGAATTAGTCATAGACTTTCAGGAATGGAAGAGACCTTTGAGAGAATTGAGAATTGAGTCCAAAGACCCCTGTTTTACAGACCCATAATTACTCCACAAAGTGTCTTGAATCCGGGTCACCCTGCCCAAACCCTGTGTTCCTTTTACTACAGGTCCACCTTCACAGCCAGAGCTGTCCAGAAGTGGGACGGGCTGCCTTGGAAGATGGTTGATTTCTTACTGTTTTCAGTAAGATCTTTAGCCAGAGTCCTTATTCCTAAGGATGCTATCCATGGGCGTCCTGTTCAGGTAGAGGTTGAACTAACCACGCTCAGATCCCTAAAATTTTATGATTCTATGAAAACCTAAAGGACAGCAGTAGAGACTGGACCTATGATTTCATTGGTATAAGGAGCTCCTGAATGAGGTAACTCATCACCAGTGCAGGTCAATGCCTTCTGGAAGTACTGGGACAGATTTTTTGGAGGACAATGTCATGGTCACTAGAGTTACCTTTTTTTTTTTTGAGGCAATTGGGGTTAAGTGACTTGCCCGGGGTCCCACAACTAGTAAGCATCTGAGGTCAGATTTGAACTCAGGTGCTCCTGATTCCAGTGCCAGTGCTCCATCCACTATTTCACCTCGATGCCCTTAGAGTCACTTTTAAGGTTGAACAAAGAGCGGACAAGCATGTCCCTCCCAAGCAGGTTCTTTTTGGCAAATAACTTTGGTTAGCAGCTAGATATAAGGATCGGGCTATATTCAACTTGGCAATTCATAGACTCATGAAATAACACAGGTGCCTGAGACCTCCTTCTTCCACCTGGCTCTGATCCAAGCTCAGGGTCTCAAATTGAAGAGGCTGCTGTTAGCAAAAGACTTTACCTTCTCTCAGTCTTTACCTTTCCCCCTCCCCTCCCAACCCCAAATTTGACTGAAGAAGGAAGTAGACATCACCCACATCCCTTTCTGCCTTACCCAGGAAGACTTCAGTCTCCCTCAGGCTGGGGTCAGGGTGTGTGGGGAGGGTTACTTGGATCTTACCTCTGGGAACACTACAATATTGCGTTTCTCCCAGACCTCCAGCCCTAAACCCATTAGATGTATTCTTCTGATCCCTGGTTTGGGGTGCTGCTGATATCTGTGGGCAAAGAGGCAGGCTCAGCAGTTGATAGCTAATGGCTCATGACAAAACCCCTGTCTTAGAACTGTTCTAAGAGCTATGCTATGACCTGAGTTCTAGCCCTACCTTGGCCACCAATCCCTGTGCAGTCTTTGACAAATATCTTCTCTCTGGGCTTCAAATATATTCTCTCTCTAATGTGAAGGGGTCTTTATTCTCTATAGTATCTGTCAACGCTGACATTGTGTTCTAAGGGCCCTCCCAGCTCTAACATTCTATGTACTAGGGTTCCTAACCAAGGCTAACAGTCTATATTCTAAGATTTCTAGGAGCTCTGGAGGTCTATGAACTACCTGGACTTCCCCAGCATTTTGGAACTCTGAGGAGAGGGTCAGTTGGCAAGACTTTGAGCAGAAGTCCGGGATCCCGCTGCCAGACTGGATCAGCCCCCGGCTCATCAGGCTGGTCCGCGGGTGGTTGGGATGCATGCAGCCTGAACCCCATCACCCTCAGCTTCTCTCTAGCTGCATCCCTGGCCTTGGTCTCCGGATCCTGTTAACACCCTGGCCCCCCAGACTGGGCTCAGGTCATCCCTGTCGGGTACAGGGCTCAGGATGGGCTGGGGTGGGCGCGGCTGCTCTGGCGCTGTGCCACACTCATCACAGATCACTCGGTTCAGGTCCCGTTCTGTCTAGTCCGGTCCCTGGGCGGCCCTCAGATCCCCTCCGGTGCGCGGGGCGGGGGGCGCCTCCTTACTTACCGATTCTCCTAGGAGGAGCCGGCCTTTGCGGGAGCACAAGAACTCCCGTGTGGGGAGCAAAGCTCGCAGGCTTTGGGTCTGGGGGCCATCCGGGGCCCCGGCGGGCTCGGGGTCTGCTGGGGGCCACATGGCAGCTGCAGAATTGGGAGCCCTCTCTCCCTCTCGCCCCCCTTACCCTCCTTTCTTTGAGGGAAACGGAAATCATGACACTGCGGAAACGCGAGGAGGAGGAAGGGGGGGAGAAAAGCGAGAAGGCAGAGAGATCTAAGAGTTCAACAAGTGGGAGGAGAGCCCTCAGGGGCCCAAGGCTTCCGCCCCCTCCCCAGACGCTTCCCTACTCGTCCTTTTTCCTGGGTCCTGGGCCCATTTAATCTCCACTGGATTATTAACTGAAGAGACTGCTCTCTTTCTTTCTCTCTCTCTCTCTCTCTTCTCTCTCTCTCTCTCTCTCCTCTCTCTCTCTCTCTCTGTAGGTAACATCTCTCTCACCTCTCCTTTCCTCTCCTCTAGGACCCCCTCACCCTAGGATATGCTCCCCTTTATCGCCTACCTCCTCTACTCTCTGCCTTCATCCTGTACCCCACCCCGCCCCTTACCATCTATCCTTCATACTGCAGTCAGATTAACTTTATATGTGGTCATGTTACTCCTTTGCTGAAAAAGCTCAATGGTTCCCTATTACCTACCCGGGAAAGTTCCTCCTGATGTTCCAGACTCATCCTACTTGTATAAACTCATAAAACATTGGTTTTAGAGTCAATAGACAAAGTTTTGATTCCCACCTTTGCTATCTACTACGTCCATAGCCTGGGGCAAGTCACTTGTTAGCTGTCAACCTCGTTTTCCTCATCTGAAAAATATGGAAATGCCTTCCAGCTCTAAATCCAAGCATCCTATGATCTTATGATTCTTTTCATATATTCTCTGTTCCTCCGAAGCTTATCTGGTATAGCTTTATTTTCTTTGCTCATGACCCTTTCCCACCTATTTGCTGGCTAAATTTCTACCCATCCTTTAAAGCTTATAGCCCACCCAAGCCAATAGAGCAGCACATCCTTAGAGCTTCATCCTATCCCCAGTCAAGCAATAATCATTTATTAAGCACCTACTATGTGTCAGGCATTGTTCTAAGTACTGGGGGATACAAAGAAAGGCAAAAGATAATCCCTCCTCTACAGGAACTCACAGTCTCATGAAGCAGATGTCATGCAAACGACTATGTATGAACGAGCCATAAACAATATGAACTGGAGATAGTCAACTGAAGGAAATCATTAGAATTAACAGAGCCTGGTAAAGGCTTCTTGTTGTTCAGTCGTGTCCGATTCTTTGTGACCCCATTTGGGGTTTTCTTGGCAGAGATAGCGGAGTGGTGCACCATTTCCTTCTCCAATTTATTTTACAGATGAGGAAACTGGGGCAAACAGGGTTAAGTGATTTATTAGTCCAGGGTCATGGGGCTAGTAAGTGTCAGAGGTAGGGTTTGAACTCAGGAAGATGAGTCTTCCTAACTCTAGGCCCAGCACTCTATCCATTGTGCCATCTAGCTACCCAAAGACTTTTTGTAGAGAGTAGGATTTTCACTGGGAGGTTGAGGTGAGGGAGGCCATTCGAGAATGGTCTTGGCATTGGGAGACAGCCAGGGAGAATGCTCAGGGAAGAGCAAGGAAGCCAGTGTCCCTGGATCACATGGATGTATTCATCAAATGATACTCTGCCCTATAGCTCTCCTTGTTGCTATTCCCCTCATGTTAGTCTGTAAAGTTTATAATAGCAGTGACCGCATCTTAGCTAAATTTTGTGTTGCCCCCTGCACCCACCCCCACCCCCATGCCAACATCAGTAAATGAATGGATTACTACTGGCTTTGGGACAGTCTTGGTGGCCTCTGGGAATGTCAGTATCCTTGTTGTATTAACAGGACCTGGGGTAAGTCTGCTTTGCTGGGATCATCATTCAAATCTTACCCTCTAACTGTGGATGCCCCAAGTCTCTGCCCTGGACCCTTTTTTCTTCTTTCTCTGTTTTTCCCCCTTGGTTACCTCACTGGTTTCCACAGCTTTAGATATCATCTCTATGTCAATAACATGAAGACCTATATATACAGTCTTACAATCACATTTCCAGATATGGTACCTAAAACTCAACATACCCAAAATAGAACTCATTATCTTTCCCCCCAGACCTAGCCCTTTTTCCAACTTCTCATTTCTGTTAAGGATATTACTATCTTTTCTGTCTCCCAGGTTTGCAGCCAAAGGGTTATCCTTGACTCTATTCCTCCTCATCCCACAAATTCATTTGACTGTTGTCTCTACTATTACGCACGGTATCTCTTACATTGATCCTCCCTTTCTCTTTTGACATAGCTACCTTCCAATTTCAGGCTATCATCACTCCTCACATGGACTATGGCAATAACCTCCTCACTGGTCTCCGGGTTGTCTCTTCTGATGGACTGTTTCTGCTTCAATCTATCTTCCACACCACTGCCAATGTGATTTTTCCAGCACAGGTTTGACCATGTCAATCCTCTACTTAGTAATTTCTAGGCAGCCCCTACCGCCCCTAGGGAAGTAGCAAAGATTCTTCTGTTTGGCATTCAAAGCCTTTCCCAACTGATCTCTAATCTATCTTCCCAGCCCACGGTCCAGCCAAATTGGCCTTGCTCTTCTTCACACATGACGCATCTATTGCTCTGCCTCTGCATAGGGAGGTGTGTCCTCCCAGCCTGGAATGCACTTCCCAGTCACCTCCACCTCTTCTAATCCCTTGTTCCTTCAAAACTTAGCTTGTACCACTTTCTTCATCAAAGCTTTTCCTGATTCCCTTCCTCCCTAAAGAATTACTGCCCCCCTCAGTCCCTCTTTTAGAAATATTAAGAAATCACATTTTCTCAGTATCCTAATTTGAAGTCTTTGGATTCATCTGAATGAAATAAGCCTTGTTAGCACTTAATCAAAACCCAAGGCACCATATTCTAGCTTGAAATACTTTTGAAACATCACATCCTAAGGTCTAACCAGTTTCTGAAGGGAAACTAAGTCAAAATTCAGGGGGAAACTCTAATCTCCTTGAATACAGAATTAGAACAGTGACCAGACAAGGACAGAAGCCCCTTGGATTAAATCAGTTGAGGGTACTGCTTCCCCTGGGCTGGACTAAATGGTTTTAGGAAAGTGATTGTTTCTCCAGAGTGCCAGAAAGGTAAATTATTATTTCTCTATTAATGAATCAAAAACTGTTCCCTAATTTCTGTACCTTTACTGAATCTTGGCTGTGGAGTTTTTATCTCTGTTTCTGAATTCTATAGAATGTATGATGACCTTGCTTGGGTAGGGAAAAATTCAATTAGCAGAGGAAATTCTGTCATTTGTCCCTCTGAGAAGCAAAGGTTGTAAATATATAGATAACTGTAAAGAAAAGATAGATAAAATGCACATATATACATACATATTCACACACATATGTATGTATGTATATGTGTATGGTATCACAAAAGTCTTAATGTAGTTTTAAGTTATTAAATTTTAATACACATATGGTCCCTTAAAGACTTGAAATCCAAGTCACAGAGTATTAAATGTCTCTTCCATAGTGTATACTTCTATAACATATGTACCCCTTGTCTCCTCAATAGAAGGTAATTTCCTTAAAGATAGAGAATCTTTCATTTATGTCTTTGTATCCTTCATGCCTGACACATAGTAAGCATTTAATAATTGCTTGGTAATTAGTAACAATAATAATTTCCTTTAGCCTAGCTCTTGTAGCATACTCATGATCTCCTTTGATTCTTCAAACAACTTTGGAAAATCAAAGGAATATCATTTTCATTTCACAGAAGTGGAGTAACTTTCCCAGGTTTATAAAGCTAGTAAATAGTGGAATGGGGGCCTCTTACTAATCAAGTAGTCCAATCCAATAAACATATTAAACTACATATATGTGCCAGGAACTGTGCTAAGTCAAGCAGAAGTGGCAAAAGGAGGCAGGTTTGAACTTGATGTATGTAATTTCACAACTTCCTAACAGAGCTGTTCAAAAGTGTAACATGCTACATTTAGAGGGAGTAGGCTTCTTGTCCTTGGAGGTCTTGGAATGGGGTCACTGATCAGGAAGGGGGTAGAGGGAATTCCTGCTAAGGTGCAGATTAGGTGGGATGACCTTTAATCATTTTGACCTTATACTTAACTAATTCAAATATGTGTTTGTATGTGTGTATGTGTATACACACACACACACACACATACATATACATACATAAATATGGTTTTCCACTTTTGAATCCCTTGCCAATAAAGTTGGACTGTCTTGTTAGGGCAACCTGCCAACCTTCTTATTCGTATACCCAGAATGCCTTCTTTTTCTCTTTCTTCAAGGCTTAGCTTAACTGTCACATCCTCTATGAAGTCTTCCACACTCCCATCTAGCCAGGTACCAAGACATTGTTTCTCTCTCTGTATCTTCCCATAAACCTGTCCCTTTCTCTCTAGAAAAGTGGCGACCATTTTTTAGTTCATTTCAACTCAAGCCCTCATTACTTCTTTGCTATAATAATAGTAACAATAAGAGCATTTATATGTCATTTTAAGGTTAGCAAAGTGCTTTACAAATATTATCTCATTTGCTCTTCACAACAACTCTAGGAGGTTAGCTGCAATTAATATCCCCATTTTACAGATGAGGAAGCTGAGGCAGACAGTGGTTAAATGACTTGCTTAGAGTCACACAGCTATTAAGTGACTGAGGCTGGATTTGAACTTAGGTCTTCTTGACTCCAGGTCCAAAGATCTATCCACTGAACCACCTAGCTGGATTCCCAACTTCCAACCTCTCTCTTCTTCAATTTACCCTTCATCTATCTGTGAATATAATCTTCCTAAAGTGACCATGTCTCTTCTCTGCTCCTAAAGAACCATCAGTTGCTTCCTGTTGTCTCCAGGATAAAACAACAACTCTTTAGCTAGGCCTTTAAAACCACTTACAATCTGGCTCTAGCCTGCCTTTCCCTAAATTTTAAAAATATCTGTGATTTTTTTTTTAAAGTAAACTTTTGTTAATAAGAATATTCTATTTTTCCAAACACAAAACATTTTCTGAAAAAGAAAATCAGATCATCTATATGTATAGTATCTATGAAAGGCCTTCCAGGGCAGGCTGAGCTCATTTGCCCCCTAAAAGGCCAGGAAACTGTCCCCAAGATCTGATTGA